GCACTGAATATACAAAATATATATATATATACCAGAGTTTTACATATCTTTTATCATCTAAAATTCACTAAATTTAAATCACATGAAGGTGAAAAAAACACAAAACTTATAACTCACATTACCTATTCAGATAATAGCAAGCAAAACACTAATATATATATCTATATTTCTTTTATAAAGACTCTGTAAAACACCATAAACAAGATAAATTTAATTCAATGAAACAAATATCCCCTAGTAAAGGTTATTTAGTTTAATACCCTTTAAATTGTTTTATTAATTACTATACACATATTTCTTTGCCTGCTTACAACAACTAAATCATCTATGAAAATTAATTAGAATTCTATACATACTATTAAATGTACAATACTAGAAATATATGTATTTTCTATTGTAAAATGCAATTTTGTATCAATAAACCAAAAACTGTCTCTACAGTTATCAACATTTGATAACTGTAGAGAAAGTATTTCTAAAACTTAAAAAAAAAAGTGCAAAATATTCTTAAATGGTTTCGCAATTCACTCAAATACTAAACGTGCATATTCAATCAAACATTTACAAGTACATGCAGAAATCTATTGTTTGTGACTTTAAAGGAAGTTCACTATTAAATAAAAATAAATTCCAGTGAAACAATAAACTAAAAGCATTTACCTTGTATATTGCATTTACAAAATTCTTGCGGTTTAAATAGCTCCCTAAGACAAGGTCCTTTAATTGGGTCACATGACTTTCTATTAGGGCAATGTGAGAGAAAAAAAAATCATGGAACCTACTAAAGACAAGAGAAAATGAAGCACTTTATTACTAAAACTCTTTCAAACAAGACCATAAATTTCAGTTATATTTACCATATGTTCTAAAATATAAATATTGTAATCAATAAAAAACTTACTTCATTGATAGTAAAATGAAAATTTAAACAAAGACAATATAATGAACCAAGTATTTTCCTTAATATTTTAAATGTACTTCATGTAGCAGTAATATATTAATTTGGAATATAAAGATATTTGAGAGGAATAGTTTCACTAGCATTTATCCAGCAAAAACAGATTACATAAAAAAAAGTTTTTAAAAGACACCTCTGTATTTATTTTTCCATTATAGATGTATAACATCAATCTTCTTTTGTTAAAACATGGTTACTGTTGATTTTATTATAAAATTTTAGAATATTTCTTTCCATAAATTAAAATAATTCTCATAGTATACTTGTTTCATCATAGATCAAATCACAATAGTTCTATAAAAACTGGAGCCATTTTGAAGAAATCAATTGTGAAGAAATATTTGGAGCTTATCATTAAGTGCATTTAAAGAAAGTCATTCACTTACTTGATTTGAAAATATATATACACAATTTCTTAGAAATTGTTACTGATAATTTTTAAATCATAATATTACTATTACTATTAATGTGATAATATGATATCTGATTTTGAAGAAGTTGAATATAGAATCAGTAAGCTAGTTTCTCATAAGAGAATTATTTTTACAATAATTTAATGCAGAAAAACATAGGGATAAGCTATTGAGCTTCACTGTTGCTTATCTTTACATTCTTAGAAATAATACAAATTATTTATATCAGTTGATAACCTGAAAAAACTATGCTTAAAAAACAAAATGTACGTATCTCCAGAAAAGTGAGGACAGAAAAATCTCGGAAAAAATATAAACCTGTTTACTAAAATCGTTATCAACTTTGCAACTAATCCTGTCCAAAATTCAAGACATATGCACAGACACACACACACACACACATTGTAAATATTTCTAAAAATATTTTAAATTTCACCTTTCTTCTTCTAAGTTTCCTTCTTCCAGAGAAATGATAATACTCAATCCTAATCTTGTCCTTGTATGGCCAGAGGATCTTTTAGGCTGCAGGAAATAACCACAAAAAGATACAGTGAATACCAGTTTTAGTGTTATATGTGCTCTGAAGAATAACATCATTTATTCAAAATGGTAAATTAACTATAATACTTGATAACACCTATGGTATAGCACTTATTTTGTCTCAACAAAATAAAAATATTTTTATGAGTAATAGTGATACAAAACATTTTTTGCTCACTTTTATGGATATAAAATATAACCTTATCTAATCTAAAAGGTTTCTAATTTTTACAATTTAGTTACTTTTATAATAATAAGTAAAGAATACACCTGAAAAACAAGAAATATAATACTTACCTGGTTCTGCTTGTTTTTTTTGCTGTTGACTGTCGATGAAACTTAACCACACTCTTTTATAGTAGTGGTACAACTGCACTAAATAATTTCTTATTGATTAAATAATGCACTAAAGAACACAAATAACATAATAACATGTAAAAACAGACATTGTCCTATAACTACAATAATTTTTTGACTTTCTAACTATGTAAAAAGTCATTAAAAATTCAGCTAAGCTCGTCAACGTGTTTCCCAAGGGAAAAAAGTTTGAACTTGAAGTGAAACAGACAATTCTCTGTACAGAAAACAATGTAATATAATATGTAATTTTATAGATTAAAACCTTGGCTTTCTATTGATTATAAATAATATAGTATTAGACATCAGAGAAACCTATTGGATATTTGTGAAAGAATGTTACAGGTGGATGTGGCAAGAAGGGTCTCATTTTCTAGTTTATAGTCTGTCACCAAAGAAGATTGAAGTCCATAAAAATCATGCTTTGCCTGAGCAATGACAACATTTTAATGAGTAATTTATGCTAAATCTCATACTTCTGAAAGATGTGGTAAATAAATAAAGAAAACTGGATACCAAGAGAGCAAATGTCACAATTCTCATACTAGGGTAAATTGAAGATTTAAAAAAATATTCCCATATAAAATTAAGAACTTAAAACTTATATAATATTAAAATTTGGATAATTAGCTATGTTTTGATACCAAGTTTATTTGTATACCATGATAATAAAGTACATTAATTAACTTTTGATGTAACTCACTAAAACCTTTTGACATGTGCAGAAAAAATGCCCATACTGAGAGGGTTAGTTTATATAATATATGGCTTATAGTTGATAAAAAAAATTCTTATATTTTTATATTGTTTTTAAAAACGTTTTTCAAAATATGTGGATAAATAATTTCTCATCTTATAATTTCTTGTAATTTGCAAATCAAATAGATAAATTGAACAGTGCTCAAGTCTAAGCAGCATAATACCATTTGTTATAGATGTTTACCAGTTCAACTATCATTATTGGGACATTATTAGAATGCCAAATTTAAACTAGTACTTATGTTCAAAATGATAACACCAAGAATAAAATGCTGCTTTTGAAATGTCATAAATATGCTACTAATGAAAACAAAATAAATGCATCTTGGTTTAAATCACAGTGAAAAACCTTAGAAAGCAGGAAGCATAAACACCTTAGTCTCACCAATTTTTATTTATTTTCTTCTTGTTATAAAAACCAAAAAATATGCCTTTGCAAAAATTGTGAAGGAATGAGATGTTTTCAGAACTTTAAAATCACATAATACAAAATTAAACTAGTCTACATTACTTTTAAATTACGAACATGTTTATTAAGGTACTGCACAATCAGAATAAGTGAAACTGAGCAAGGACTGAGAATCAGTTTTCCACATGAGAGAAAGAAGCTTAACTTTAAGGTGCTTGATCTAGGCTGAAAAGAAAAATTATGTTTGATCTTATTAAACTATGTAATCTCATTTGAACATAAACTAAGTTAACAAGAAGTAATTTTTAGCCAATTTCATTCACATATACTGCATTTTTTAAGCCAATTTTATATCTGTTTTAGAGAAATCATGAATTAAATTAAAAAACAAATACAAAATTTTAAAATGCATTTTGCAGATAAAAAAGAAATCCAAACACCAGAAATAATAATTTTTCATTTCAATATTCAAAAAGCTTTTGATGTATAATAAAAAAGTCACTAAAACATTTGCATTTTCCCCCTCACAAATAAAAATGTATATGAACATCCAAGTTTATCAGTCAATTTCAACAAAACTCAGATTTTTCAGATTTGCAAATCTTACCTCCTCACTTTGAGGTGAATCTTCTGAACGACGTCGTAGCCAAACCTCCATGCTAGTGGTTAGATTTCGAAGCCATCTTCGCTGAAGACTACTGAAACTACCAGAATGTGATAGACTAGAACTGGCAGTGTCAGGAGTAACAGGAAAACTAAGTAGGCTATTACTACTGGCTGTGGAATGTAAAGAGTCTGCCAGGAAAGTGTGACTTCCTATAAGTTAATGTGTAAAAAACTAATGAACATTAAAGATTTTCATATGTGTTCATAACTGACAATTTTTTCATATTAATCACATTTAAACTGAAATGTTTTCACTTCTTTCTGGGTTTTATTTGTTCTTTAATAAGGAAACGTACATTTTCACTAACTTCTTTTTGTATTCAACATTTTAGTTATTAATTCAGCATAGTTTTCCCAAGATCTAATTGTCTCAAACCATTATTAATATGAAGCCTACAAATTAAAACACTTTTGCTGATATAGCTGTTCTGCTGTTGACAGCTTGATAAGTTGAACTTAAAAAACATTCAGAGCAAACATTTTGTCTGTTAACAATATCTATAAGTTAAAAAAATTAATGATATAAACATTACTGCATTGAAGTTATTAACAACTTCAGTTTAAGTAAAACTGAAAGAAATGATTTAGTCTCTTTGGAAATTATTTCTAACCTGGAAAAAAAAGATTATAACATGACTTATTAATAATAATAGAGACATCATGTTAAAAAAAAACTTACCAGAAGGCAAACAACCACCGTCATTCCTTTGCTGTAAAACAGAAGTGTGACCTGGCACATCCACGGGAACACTGTGAGCTGAAAGCAGGTTTAACTTTAATACATGTACATTGTAAGGCTGATTACAAATAGTGAATTGGTTTTAAAACAAAATATCCATATCTTAGCAAATATACAGACAAACAAATTTGTAAACAAATCTTAGAAGGCAAATCATACCTAACTCCCTCCGATATAAATAAACTGATTTTTTTCATTTTAGGTATAAAAAAATCTCCCTCTAAAGCAAGTATACCTATATAAAATATGTATGAGTGACAACATAAAAACAAACAGCATACTGCATGTGTTACAACTTATAAATAAGTTAGGTAAAGCTTGCTTAAACTATAGTTGTCTTTTATCATAACACTTGTAATATTGTAAAGTTTATAACATAACTTAATAGTCAGTCTCAAAGAAAAACAGTTTATATTCCATACTTATTTCAAACCAAACATTTTCAATACTTGGTCCGGTGTATCTTATTGAAAGAAATTAGACTTAGATAGTAATGGTAATTATCAAATGTACTTGAAGCCATTTCATACCTACACATAATGATTCCATCTTTTCACCACATTTTGATATTAGAATTTCACTAGTAGAATTGTGCAGGCTAGATGAAACTTCAAGATCCCTATCACTAAAAATAAACAACAAATATTACTAGCTCTGGAATACTTTGCAGTATATACTATGATGTCTTAAAAGTGCTAAATTGAGGTTGGAAAAGAAATATAACTCAATACTTGGAAACTGAAAACCTCATTCATACCATACCTTAATCTCTGTTTTACAATTTTGAATATAAAGAGTAATTCATATACACTATCCTACCAAAAGTTATGGGACACAGCAATGATCACACGAAGATGGATGTGACAATGAAATATGCAAAGAGTTTGGCCTATAAGAGTGATCAGTATTTTTGAACTTGTACACTGAATGATAAGTACTCGGAAAGAGCTAAGGGAGTTTCAGAGGGGAAAGATAGTTGGATGTAATTTGGAGAAAATGTTTGTATGTGCTATTGTGCAACAATTAAAAATTCTCAGGTCGACAATTGGCAACATGCTGAAAAAATGAGAGTCCACAGGTGAAAATGGGCTCAAGAAACAACCAGATAGGCATAAAATACTGACTGACAGGAGCCAAAACACCTTGAGAAGGCTGGTTACCTCATCTGGCTATCAGACTCTAGAGAATCTGTGTTTGGAGATGCGAGCAGCCACAGGCAATCCTATAAGCATTTCCATGACATGTCAAGAGCTGCATGCCATGACTTTTCATGGAAGAGCTGCAGCCCATAAGCCATTTATAATAAAAACAAATGCACACCATCAGTTGGCATGGGGTAAGGTACACTGAACCTGGATGAATGGAAATCAGTCCTGTGGAGCAACCAGTCATGCTACACGCTCTTCCAGTGTGATGGAGGATGCCTGGAGAACTCTTATTACCCAAGTGTGTCATCCAAACAGTGAAGTTTGGAGGTGGTGGTATCATGGTCTGGGGGTGCTTGGATCCTTGAATGCTGAGTCCTACACTGATGTTCTGTGTTCCTACATTGTGTCAATTTTATGGTACTGGCCCTTACACCTTCCAACATGATAATGCTCCATGTCACAAAGCAAGGATTATGAATGCATGGTTTAAAGAGAATAACATCAGACCATTGCAGTGGTCAGTAAAGAGTCCTGACCTCAACCTGATAGAACATCTTTGGGATGAACTGGAATGCAGTATTAGGGCAAGGCCAAGATGGCCTTTTTCATTAGTGGAGCTTACTAATGCTTTAAAGGAGGAGTGGAGTACAATACCACCAGCTTTCTACCAGAAATTAGAACAGTCTTCCACAGCTCATTGAAGCAGTCATTAAGGACAAATGTGGGCCAATACACTAATAATTTCTTGGAATAAAGACATGTTTTGTTCATAAATACCCTTGTCCCATGACTTTGGTAGGATAATGTATATCTATATACAATGTTTCTGTACATATTCCACTTACATTTTACAACAAGTACATTTTTTTCTGGATCTAAGATAATAATATAGTTAAAAACTTATAGCAGTTTCTAAAATGATATTATAAACCATATCAAAATAAATACTTTTTCTGTTAACACTTTATACTAAAATAGTATTAGGAACATGTTATATTTAAAGTGCTACCTTATGTTGGAATAGCAACTGTTGTTAGGTTTAGAATTTGTTACTGTACAGTGTAACAACTAGGATTAATTATGTGCTCAAGGCTTGATTTCTGGCAAGTAGTAACTCAGATAGTAAAGTATTAGTGACAAAATATATGAGTGTGCTAAGTGACATAGATGCAAGATCTAGTCAGGGCAGATTTGATAATGTTCTGATATGTTGTATTGGCACCCAACTACTGACTATTCTATTACTTAACACTATGGCAATTTTCAGGTAGGAACCAGCTTCTCAACAACTATTAGATAGCTAGACCTGCTAATAACAGCAGATATGCTCAGGACAAAAGGAGAGTAACCTGAATGTGATAACTTGACTGAGTTTCTGTAGTATGCGTGGAATAATCAGACTGACCAAGTTTGACAAAATGAGTACTATGTTTATTACAGTACAGTCAAAAAGAAATAGCAGCTTATATACTAGCACACATGAAAAGACAGTCACTTCTACTAAACTGTGATTAGCTCCACAGCTTTACTTTTCTCAGGATACTTTTGCTGAATTAAACACAATGATCTTAAATAAAGTCTTTACTTAAAGAACTCCAGGTAGAACTGAATTAAGAAAATGCACTTGAATTCAACAGGTAAACTTGGTTCCTTTGTCCAGCCCACAGCATCACCTTGTGACTTTTGTTTTCTCACAGTATTGTTCAACTGTAACATTCAGACAATGTCAACTTGACCAGCAAAGGATATTACAGTCACTAATACTTTTAACTTGGATGATATATATAGCAGGTAGAAAAAATATGACATACCTATATATCACCAGACTACCTAAGCTGATTAGACGGTAAATTAAGTAGCTTGTCTGCATGCTTGCTTAGCAGTTAGTTTAATGTACAATGTATGTATTTGAATTGTTAGCCTGTGAGGAAGCTGTGTTATAGTACTAATGAAGAAAAGCTATTTTGTGAGAGAGGTAAGATACCATTTTGGAGTGCTTTGTTCTTAATCAGCTAATCATCTGCAAATAAACTTGAGCATATTATTTTCAGTGTGATTCAGTTTTCAGTTTTAAATTATTAGCTGAATTGCCAATAGATATCAGTTATCTTTTTATTGATCATAAAAAAAATTAAATATACGTTTTTACAGAATTTCAGTAATTTTACAACTATTTTTTTATAATTCTGTTTTTCAGTGCTTTTTTATGTTAAGATTGTTTTTCTTCCTACTAGCCAGCTAGTTCTATTTAAAGTCACTACAGTAATTTTTAATTAATCTAATAAGTCAACAACAAAACTTACCCCATTTTTTTATTTGGAAGAGGTGCAGGAAAAACAACACTAAGCATCAGTTCTTGAGGTGACCTTTGCATTAAAATATACATGAAAATAATCTCAGAATGCATTTATATACTAAAAATAAATGAACAAAGAGTTTGTAGTTAATAACTTGTATAATTATAATAATGTTTAGTATATTTGAATTAAGTCTTGGAATTTTTTTTATAAACTTTGAATGATGACCCAAAAATAAAAAAATTATACCTAAATTTACTTCAATATATATAAATGGTTTTCACATATGTTGTATAAAGGAGATGAATATACATAGCTGATATGATTTACAAGCTGTACCTGCTTGAATTCAAAGATTTGACTATGTTTACTTATGTCTTCATTAGATCATAAATGTAATGATAAGCACACTGAAACATAGTTGGACTTCCATCTCCATTCAGTTGCAGCTAACACTACATCTCCAATACAGAATTACCCACAAGCAACTACGATCAAGGACTAAGTGGCACAATCTATGTTGTTGAGAGTAAAGTAAAACATACTACGAATTTTAGTGAAGTACAGTAATTTTTGTAAATAATGTACTTCAAGAGTATCATTGCTGTAATAAGCTTTATACACAAGTAACAAAATAAAAGTGGAACAAGTTGCTTGATTGAAAGAACACACCCATATGGAGAAACACTGATAAATTTATTTTCAGTAAAATGAAGCAAAATTATTTGTGGAAGATAGTGAAAATATACAACTCACTGTGTTTTAAGTTTATGTACTTTAAACATTTCTTTTAAGATTAATTTTTCTTTACACACACTTCACAGTTTCTTTCACATTGTTAAACACAGCTAAACTTTAGATATTTTCTATTGTTTTTCAGTTATGGTGTACATTTTTCTATTATTCTCTCACCTTAGATAATTAAAAGAAAAAGGAAAACTGTTTTTTGGGTCTATGGGGAGATACATAGAATTTTTTCAGTTTTGCATTTTGCAGTTTTTATTGGCATTTTTTACCACTATTTTGCTCCCTGTTGATGGATTTTCACCAAGTTTGGCATGAAGGTTTTTTTTTGGGTCCATGTGGAGAAACATAAAAAATTTGTGGGTTTACATATTTTGTGTTTTGCAGTTTTATGGGCCTTTTGCATTTTTTTACAATTACATATAAGGAGGCAACTTTTCATGTCCTAAGACAATCTTTCATTAATCATGAATTTACATAACTTCGGTCCAGGTTACAGGTACTTTAGCTACTTTTTAATGTATTAATTACATACTTTGAAATTTATTTTTTATTAGGTATCTTATTTAGTGGCCTGAAGTGTTATTTTGTTCTTTTCATTTATGTTTAAACTCAAGTTCTGTAAATATGTACTTTGTAAGTGGTTAATGAAAGTGATTCTTATGTACAGGTTTTCATTTCCCATTGCACTTAGGTTGGTTTAGAACACCTCTGTTTTCCTTCTTTTTCATGATAATAATAATTTATATTGCTCTCAGTTAGCTTTAATTTTAATTTTGGTTTGCATTGCTTTTCATTATTATTGTCTGATTATCATCCAGTTTTGACTTGACTCTGCTTCAGCAAATTACTTTTGGTTCCTTTTTTGTCTTTTTCTTCTCTCCACTTATCATGTGAGAATATAAATTAAGTGTTTCCCTTTCTTTTATGTTTCTTTGCTTTTATTTTAAGTTTAACTTTGATGTACTTGGATAATACCCAGGTTGCCAGGCCCTGAAAATAGAGCAAAGAGAAAAATGTATACTAAGTTTTTTGCTGAAATGAGTCCTCCAATATGTCCTGTTTGGGGTTCTGACAGATGTCCAGTCATGGTAGAACATTTTTTCCTATACTCAAATAAACCCTGTATAGTAGAGAGATGAAAAATTGAAGCTTCCCTTTAAAGGATGGTGCACAATTTATTCATTGAGGTAAATTCTCAAAAGGAAGACTAAAAACCAATCATAAAAGTTTTGGTGCAAAAACAATCTGAGTGATCAGTATTAAAAAGCTGTCTATAGTAATGTCTTATGTATCAGTGTTATACAGCTATAATTACGCTATGTCACATCTTTGTTAATGCTTCAATATAACAAAAACTCCATCCTGCTGCTTTTTTAAATGTCAGAAGACTAGTCCACTTATTTATTATTGGTAAAGAACTGAGAATAAGGAAAATTATTGCATCTGGCATTGAGCAGATATCTTTCACATAAAACTGCAAGAAAGATTATAAAAAGATCTCAAACTGATAATAAAATTTCATAATTCATGTTTTATACAGTATAGTTACAAATTCAATAACACTTAAAATGTACTGTATGTCAGACATCTCACAGACAGTACCAACTTGGAAAATATGATCTGAATATTCAGCCTTTGACATCAGTGTGAACTGTTTCATTTGTGGCAATAAGTGCTTACCAAAACACCCTGAGATTAGAGAGGGGCATTATTCCAACTAGGACCAAGTGGTACAAAGAGGCCAAGAAAGCAAGCCCCAGTTAGACCTGATCCACCTTCCTAGATCTACATCCACTACCAGAGCCAGAGATAATGATTGGGCTGAGGTAGACTTGCAAGATATGTCAGCCACAAGTAATGACTTTGAGTTTTTGCCAAAGAACAGGCATGATTCTGGTGTACACACTGACACCAATGATAACTCAACACCCTTCAAATGTTTGAGAGCTCTATTTTTAGAAGACAAAAGTAACGCTCTCATCACTGCTATCAACAAGTATGCCAAAGCATAAGTTGCAAAGAAAATGCCTGATCTGAGATAGCTGAAGTATTTGAACTGAACTCTCTTTACCCTCTTTGAGATGTTGAAGTTTCTTGTGATGACAACATCAATGGGCATCGACAAATGATCTAGCATTCAAGACAACTTCATCACCCAGAAGTCTCTCTACACACCCTTCTATCACCAAATGTTCAACAGGAAGACGTTTGAGGCTATTTACTCAACAATGCTTCATGTGGGCACCCCTGATGCTGGAAGTAAAAACTAAATTATGAAAATTGAAATATTTTTAAGGTATGGAGATAATTATTAGGAAATCATGAAAATAATTCTGGCAGAATGGGCAAAAAATTATGAATTTAAGGTGTTAAATAATCTCATTTTAATTTTCAACTTAAGCCCATAGCCCTTTCCATCTGTATCATATGCCACTCTTCTCTGTTTCCTTCAACATATAAAATGTTTACTTTGATTCAACTTTAGACTGATTCTTTTCTCTGTCAATCCACCTAAAACAAATGACTGCATCTGTCCTTCCACACACTAGAAACTTGACACTCTAGTTGTTGTGGAGATTAAGTAAATTGTGCTAGCTCTATTCTTGAATTACCAAAAGAAGACAAGAATAGAAATGATGGACATGAGGTCCAATTCCTGGCATAATCAAGAGTTTGGTTTGTTTTGAATTTCATTCAAAGCTACATGAGGGCTATCTGCACTAGCCATCTAATTTAGCAGCGACAGACTAGAGGGAAGGCAGCTGGTCAACATCACCTGCCACCAACTCTTGGGCTACTCTTTTACTAACAAATAGTGAGATTGACTGTCATTATTATATGCCTCCATGGCTGAAAGGGTAAACCTGTTTGGTGATGTGGATTTGAACTTGCAACCCTCAGATTGCGAGCCAAGAACTATAACCACCAGGTCATTCCAGAGAATATGTTAAGAGTTATAGCAAAGGTAAAGTTTTGTATTATCATTTATAAATAGGGTAATCATAATCTTTTGTGTCACTACCTTACAGTACATAATAATTAGCTTTTTAACCTGAAATGTACAAAATGCAATGCATCCAGCATAATGGATTTCTACCTAATAAAGAATCAACGAACTGGAGCAAAATTATATCATAAATAAAACATAAAAAAACAAGTGATTTATGGAAGGCTATTCACAAAGTTGAGATCTCTCACTAACTTCTGAAACTGAAAACAAAAATAAAATGCAATCCTTCCTGTCCTAATACATTCATGCTTTGAAGTAACCTATAACAATTGAACTACACAATATATTTTAAAATCATTTCACAAATTTACCTCCTCAAAGATGATGTAATTTTGTTAAAAAATAAATCCCCAAATGGATTTCAAAGTTTATTAAAGCAACCTCTAAACTTCAAGTCACCATTTACAACCTTATCTCCCAGAAATAAACATTTCATCTAATTCTCCTACATTCTACAACTTTGATTACACAAATATAGCTTCCCATAAAATTTCCCATTTAATATATACAAACAATTTATAAAATTTATTTTCCAAATAATAAACATTAATACATTTATTGGGATCTTTTCATATCATATCAACAGAATACCACATTATAGAATTAATTTTTTTTGTACATAAATGAGACTTACCTCACTGTATGAACTTTAACAGTATCCCCTTTGTATGACATGGTCACAGATCCAAATATCATTTCTCCAAGCATCTTAACGTCACTACATGGCTTAAGGTACTGAGGATTTAAGAAAATAAACAAATATTTACATAACAGCATCATTGTAGATACTAGTAAAGCAAATGTTACATCATGCTAAAAGATTCAAAGGCATATTGCAACATCAAGCTTCTGTTACCACTCTTTAATACAAGTTACATCTAGCTAAGATTTAACTATACATTATTACAAAAGACTTATCATACTCTCTGTCTTTTCAAACTAAACTTCAATGTAAAAGCTAGAATATTGAAATTTCAGTGTTTTATCAATTTGAAAAATAAGACAAATTCTGTAATTAACATAATCAAGTACATTCTGCTTTTAGCTCCTTCTTGTGGACATTGTTAACAAAAGTTAAAAAGATGTTTTTTTAATATGCAGCTATATCTCATTAAGTCAAAATATATAATCATGGGATTAGTTCTTTTATCATCACTGATGTTCAATAATTTCAATTCTACTTAAAGACATACATACATACATACATACATACATATACACCATGGGTTTAACCAAGGCCTCCTCAGGTGCTGAAACTAGGCTAATTTCCAATATTACAATGGCTAAAAAATTCTCACTTTAAAACATTTGTTGTCCCAAATTACAGAACGGCAATTAATATTAAAATGTATTCATTGCTCACTTAAATGAAATAAAAAACTCACTTAAAATGTTTTTTGTAAAGTAGTACATTCTATCTATGAAACAACTTGGAAACTTTCTTATGCAATCCACTGGTTGTTTACATAGATTTCCATATCCCAACCATACAAAGTGCATCTTGTAAAGACATATATGTATTTCTCTTTATTCAAATATTGTGGTGCTTTTCCAAGATAAAGGATTTTATCCTTATTTATAGACTTACAACTTCTAGGACCCACTAATAGTGTATTACAATTTCATTGCAACTGTCAGCTCTCAGTAAAACATGGTGTACCAACTAAATAATTTCATTAAAAGAAAAACCAGGTACATTGGTTTGCCCATCATGCAACATAAAGTCATCATGATCTCTGGTAGATATTATGGAAATTCAAGACAAATAGTGTTTTCTTCATATGTTAAATCTTTATGTGAGATTTCAATAACCTTTGATAAACTAGTCAAGAAATAAATACAACTCTTTGGATTGAATTTATTTGCAACTGGTACTCTTTAAAAGCTACAACAAACAAAATTATTATTGAAGTGTGAAAAATATTACCATTCATGTACATATTTCTTTCTTTATCATTTTTGCTTTCATACATTCCCTAAAAGTGTTAATTGTACCTAAATGACACAAGTCAGTAGGAAACTATTATTTTAAAAGGTCAAATTTTTACTGTGAATAACACAATGCATTTTTAATTACATTTTGGAGAGCTAAATGCTATTTATTAATAACATTAATTTTGATCATTCTGAATTGATTACTTAATAAAAAATAAACTCCAATTAGAAGCAGAAAGGCTTTTTAAAAATCATATTAAAAGTTAAGCAGTAATCAGACATTTGCTATTGTTTATGGAATCTGTAAAGCCAACTATGTGTGTGTAAATAAACTTTATTAAAATACATCATCAACAGATAAATAATTTATCTTGAGAACTGGATTGCAATGAAATATTTTTTCAATGGGTAACAATGATGAATATTTTATACCTTACAAAGGGGAAAAATAAGTCTGACTGCTGAACTAAAAAAGTCTAACGAATTTAAAAAGTTGATTATGTTGGTTAAGATTTAGTGTGGCATGATTCTGAAAAATGGTTTCTATTTCCATTTGATCAGTCACATTAGCACGTTCTTGTTATTATTCTTCCAATTAAAAATATTTATGGATTTTAATGGTCACACTTCTTTTTCTTTAATTATTTACTATCACATGACTGGTTCAGCATAAATTTGAGGGCTAAAAATCAGGTTTTGGTACTGGTGGTGGGCATAAAACAAGACAGCCTATTATGTAGCTTTGTTCTTAACAGCAATCACATGACTAATAATGTGACCCCTAGATTATCTACATATATGTATATTGTGAGCATGATTTCTCTCAGTGTTCGTTGCAATATTTCAAGTTGTTCTACATAAAGAACAGATACTGACTACTTATTAAATCATTAACCAAATGTGTATGGGGTAGGTCCAATGGACTGACCTCATACTGGAGAAGGAATGCTAACTATAATTCCAAATTTACCATGTATATCTGAACAGAATGTGGCAAGCTATTAGTAAAATGTACAAGTATGTTATACACAAAAAATAAGATGTTTTACAAAATAATTTGTACTCAACATATATTTGTGAATTGATGATGTCAGTCTGACTCAGACAAGTCAGACTGAAAGGTGATGTTCATGTGAACAATAGAAATGCTTCTGTCCATTGTACAGTTTGTATATTGCATTTGCATAATCTCTAGAATCTCCAAGATGCATATCTATAGTTTTTTCAGTATCCCTGTATCTACTCTTCTCTACCATAAACTGTTACTAAATCAGCAATATAGAGTAAAATGTATATTTGATAACTCTGACATATACATAATACCATGTTGAACAGCATTTGCCATTCATCTGTGCATATAGTTATAATTTAAGCTATACTTTTGTGTCAGAATTTAAAAATATGTTCTTCGACAATTGTCAAAATAAAAAGGCTTTTAGTTATATATTTCTTAATAGTATAAATATATACTATGTTGTTGTTGGGCTTAGGATTCTTCTACACTACAATAGGTGTCTGTGACTTGTTAGCGATAAATTCAACAATGAATTAACAGCTCGCACTTCACTTGCTTTCAAAATAATATATATATTCAGAACAAGCTAACGTATATACAATAAATTCTTCAACACTGTAGATACTATGGACATATCATAAATACTATAGATGTAGTTCTCTCCTTCTTGTCAAATATCCACTTAGGCTGATTCAATTACTTTAGAATTTCAGTTGACAAGCCGAACTATCTTTACTATTTCTATCGCATAAGTACCCTCTGTGATTCACTTACAATTGTGGCACGAGTAACTGTTTGGTCTTCTTTCTTTTGAAGATCATTTGTTCCTTTTCTCAAAGTGTACTCAGGCTGATTCAATTACTTTAGAACCACACTTTGACAGAATAAATTATTTTTCTTATCTCCGTTTCTACTGTTAGTTTCACTCTAACATATTAAATGTTAGGCCTATGTCAATAGTTAGACCTATAACTTCTGTGGTAGTTAACTTCACACCAACTTTATTTTATTTTATCTGTCTACTTCTGTCTGTCTGCTGCTTCTGTCTATGACAGTTATTTTGATTTGAACTTAATTATTTCAGAAGAAATAATTAATAGTCAGAGGTACTCGAAGATTCCGCTCGTCTCACGCTATTTATATCTATATTACCTAAATGTCTGTCCTCCTTCTATACTCTCAACATCAATGAATTATTAACAAAACTTCATACAATCATCTGCTTTTAACTCTTATTATAACAAACACTAAACAATACTAAAACATTCACTCACAAAACTAAATTAATAAATACTATCTGAATGAAACAGTCTTTTATACCATGACATTTTAATATTTATGTATTTAAACATGTATTCTGTATAACTAACAGAATGACTCAAACAGAAAAAATGTGGACACTTTGTAATGAACAAGATTAGGAGTTTATTTCAAAGTTGGGGAAGCTAGTTATTGTCAAAGTAGTTTTTATTATACATACAAGTTTATTTTTCTTAAATACACACCAGAAACATACTTAGCAGGCATTAATAATATATATATATATATATATATATGTGAGTTTCTGTCTTTGATACTGTTTTCAATAAATTATTGATTTTCAGCTTAAGTTATACACTTTACTAGCCAGCCAATTTTAATGAAAATGGATGGTAATGATACATATGTACATGTGTAAATATAGCCCATATTCCATAAATCAAGTTTTTAAATCTAGGATCATTCAAAGCCTACTAATACATCAAAATTCTATGTTATGCAGTAAACAACCAAAAAATAAACAAACTCAAATTGGTTGGGTAGCAACAAATTTAACTTAAATTATCTATATCCAAGTATGCCCCACCATAAATTAAATTCTTAAAACATTTCATCATACTAAAATGACAAACAAAAAAAGCATAGTCTTACCTGATAAACAGTGCCATCACTGGCCACTTCCCTATGCTGGTCATTTTTTCTGCGAGGTATTGTGTTTGATCCAGTTACATGGCCATTAACTTTAAGCCTTTTCAAGTCACAAGATGAATTGAGATCTTGGCGAGAAAGTTTCTTCACAGATTTTGAATCAAACAACAGTTTTCTACCTCTCCAGTCACATTCTCGGAAAAGGAGAACTCGTACTTGTTTCGAGCCATTGAATTTTGGAGGTTTCCAACTATCATTAAATACACAAATTGATTTAGAGTTCACAATTTAATAACAAAAAATATTATGGTCAAATGTAAATTTTTTTAGTCAACTTCAACGAAAAGCAATTTTTGTGTGCGAGTGTGAAATTATGAAGTCCTTAATTTCAGTTCAGTGGAATGAATAGAAAAAAATTTCTATATATCCATGTATATTTAAACCAAACTATTAATTTGTGTAATTCACACACCTTCATGAGACAACAAATTGCAATTTTAGTTCAACATAACACTTCACACATCCAAGCAAACTACATAAAATAGGACTCAAACAGCCTTTTTTTGGAAAACTTTGTAGGAAAATCAGGGTCCAGGGGAGAAGTACTGGTATTTTGGCTGATTCTGGCCCCCTCATCCCCCTAAGTCGTGTACATTATTTTTTCCTCTTGCATGACTCACCAAAATACAGCATCAGCATATAAATATTACTTTTTTTGGAAGAGAGAGGGGGACTTTCTGGTATTGTAGGTGTGGAAAATATTTGCTTGAACCTGGGCCCCAGTGAGTTGCACCAGGTGCACCCCCCCCTTTCCCAGGCCCTTATGAAAATACATGAAGATTTCAATTAAAAAATGACAGTTAAATTGAGTGGTCCTTAAAGTTAAATACAAGCCCTAAACAAAAATGCAAATTTGATATGCATAATGATTTGACATAATACTTATAGCTTAAGTCTTTGAAATTGTTTTGGAATTTTCTTTGCTAATTAAATCTTTCAGATATTAAGTAGCAAGAAAATTGATATGTACCTATTATTAAATCTTGATCACCATAACATTAAACACTGAAAAACAACCTGATTTTTGTAATTTGAAATCATACAAACCTACATTATAACTGCTGAGAATTGTAGTTTCAATAAATTGTCAGCTCTCACCAACCCAGCTACATGTATAACAGACACTCACAACTACAGCTGTATATGCATTTAGGTGTGGAAAAATTGCTTATTGTAGTTTTGAGATATGCATACCCCTGTATTACATATGCTCTTTAATCCCAAAAGCATTTGAGGTTATTCAGCTTTCCACTTAAATTTAGCACTCACGCATTCTACCTATTTTGATGTGGCACATTGTAATATGGAAACATATGAACTCTTAATTTGGTATTAAAGCCTATATTGTGATCACTTAAAATTGGTGAGTTTCAAGAGATGAAGCAATCGGCTGGTCATGGTACAAGTTTTAGCTACCTCATGTAAATTTGTATGTTTTCTCATTATGATTCCAAGAAAATGTGAAGAATATGCAAGTGGTAAGTTTAGTAGGAGAGCTAAATAGCCTCATACTCTTTTGGAATGCAAGAGTCCTAAGGTATGTAAATACCTCAAACTGGTTTTTATAGCCTATATCAAGTGAATTAGGTTTTGCTCCACGATGGAAATCTGCTAGTTTTGCGGAGGTCACAGCAACAGCAACAACAAAAAGTTTCGAACGAAACATTGCTGAATTTATATATATATATATATGACCTTTACGACATGAACACCACCACTGACAGCACGTCTGCTGTTCAATGTCTCGTTTAACCAACGTCAATTTCACGTGAAACGTGTCGATCAGCTTTCCCCTCATGTGACTATTTGTTTTTTTACTGACTGAAAGAAAGCACGTGCTCAACATTTCCTGCCGCTACCTTTATATATTCCATAAACAAAACACATTATCCAGGTGCAGCCTATGGTCGTAATATACGACGGTTCACTGGCCTACGGAATGTTGTCCAACAAGAATGAGGGCACACATGTAAGTTATAAACCGGATGCCACAGTTACGAATATTTTGTGACTATCTGTCTGATTCATGTTATATCCAAAAATCTCTATTTTTAATTTTTCTAAATATTTTTTAGATATTTTCACACAACTTTACGACCAACATATTTAAATTTTATTTTATTCTCAAAGAGTAATCACATAATCAAAAACAGTAAACGAAACATTAACAAACGTAGGTACAAAAACATGCTAATTTCCTATATTAAATTGAAGCGTTAAGTGAGAAGTTTATTTTTACGCAGTTGTTACTAGTAATCGGAATAAACTTAAAGTGATTGCCCGTAGTTTGACAAAATGAAAAGGTTCTGGCTAACTTTCAGTTTAAAGGTTTTGAGACGGCTTGAATGGGTAATGAAAAAACTATTATAAATATACAACGTTTGGACAAGATTTTCTACCTGAGGATGACAAAATCTTGTCAAAATGTCGTACATTTATAATAAAGGTTTTTCATTACCCATTCAAACTGTCTCATAACTTTTATTTTCTAAAAAGTGGGTTCCTCGTTATCAAATTTTAACTTTCATTTTACTGATATACATGGTGCTAAGTAAATACAGGAAGTAGTAAAACGACTATGTACCTAGTCGTCCCTAATTTTGAACTGATAGAGGGAAAGCAGATAGTCAAAAGCATCCGCCACCAACTTTTGGGCTACTCTAATCGAATAGCATGATTTGTCTGTTACTGTTATAAAGCACCCACGGTCTCAACGAGACACAAACCATGAACCATCAGCTTCATAGTTCATTTATTTTATTTTTTTTGTTTTTGTTTGAAGTTAAGCACAAAGCTACACAATGGGCTATCTGTGCTCTGCCCACCACGGGTATCGAAACCCGGTTTCTAGCGTTGTAAGTTCGCAGACATACTCGCTGTGCCACTGGGGGGCTCATAGTTCGTCATACTAACTACTAGGCTATGCTCAGCCTAACAGAATTGTAAAGAAAAGCTTTACGACTATATCCTAAAATGAAAAAAAAAAAGGACGAACAATGAAATTCATCTAGCGAAAATGTGGGTAAATTTGTATTAAGTTCGCGGTAAGCAGATGCCTATTTCAGTGACACAAAGTTAATTATTGGCCATTTACTTTTTTATTTCAAAATTTATGAAATATCTGTTAAACATTACAACAACACCTTGAACTAAATTACTCAAATATTTTCATTAAAAAAATTAAAATATGTATACTTCTTTCATCGAACAGGCCAAAATTTATGTTAAAAAGAAATTCAGTAGCAGACGCTCCTCTGATCACACATTCACTTACAGCAGGAATAACGAAAAATATTCAAAACTACAAATAACAGTTTCAAATCCTACTCTGTGCATTTAGGCTAAGCTTGAATCATTTGACCTTGTGCACCACCCATACACGTATGACATAGTTTTTCCTGACCTTGTAACATATAATCATTCACCTGTCAGAAAATATGCTTACACAACAAAAAGTACGTTCACATATTCTTAACTGTGTTTTTGCAGTAACATAACTAAATTCAGAGCCGGGGCTAGAGTTGGAAAGGGGGCATACCCCCAGGATCATGAAGGAGCTCCAAAATTTTAGTCAAAATCGCAAAAAAAAGTTATTCAAACGATAAGCAGTGGAAAATGAAGCTGTATATTCATTCTAGCCTATGTATGCTATGTTTTTTCACTAGCTGACAAGATGCACGCGATGTTTAATATATTACTGCATCGGTAAAATCAAACTCGCATAAGTGGAACCTGAGTGGTCAGTGATTACCATTGAGATTAATTCGTCAATTCGCTTTAATATTAATTAAAAGCTGTCGTATAGAGTTCTCAAAAACTGCCTGCACTTAAAAGTTTCGATTCGAGCCTTGCAGATATTATTTGTTGTTATATTTATCTGTCCAATTACCTTCGTTTTTCATTGACGTAAACTAGTTATTTTCCTTAAATGTATAACAAGATTTTGTGTGTCCAATATGTGAAAATGTGAGTAATGCCACTGAAGCTATTTATAGCCATCAGTACTGAAACAGCAGCGAAACCCATCCTATAGCCTACTCCGAGTATATTATAATATCTACCCATCAAAACGTTTTTTGTTTATTGTAGTAATAAGAAAACAAGTGTCAGTGTCCCACAAAAGCAAATTCTCTCCCTCTGCAATAAGGACTGAATACATGTTTAAGTCCGTAAATTTTCATATTTAATCGCTCGCAAAATATTGCAGCGAAATACATTTTAAATTGGATGTTAACACTAAATTGATTTGAATGCAATCTCCATACACGAAAGGGTTTCTTGTAACGTAATTAGATTTTCCTTCAGTATTTTGGAAAGCATAGTTCTGAAAAGGAAATAAGAACATTGTCAACATGCTACAAAGGTCAGTTGGATTAAAAAATCACTGAAATAGAACTTATATGTTAATACTATCAAACCCCTATTACAAATAAACCATTTTTTATACAAAATGTATAACGGGTTTTAAGATATTTTATTTTACTGATACAGTGGGCGAGAAATGGTTATGGTTGCTCTGAGTAATGCTTAACTGGCTAGAACCCGTTATTTTGTAGTAATGCTGCTCAAACCAAGCCAAAAGAGCAGGGTGTTAGTTTTCTTATTGTTGTATTGTGCACTCTGGAACATGGCCATGCCTGAATTGGTGAGCCTCCTTTGCTGCACTTTTTTGGATGCAGCATGTTTGAGAATGGTAAGAATCTTCACCGATTTCTCTCTCTTAGATAATCAATATGTGCAAAGATTGTAATTCTGTGGTCCAACACAACACCCAGCAAAGTTTTTAACTGTAATTTTTCTGTCTGCTTATGTCTGTTTGTTTGCTTGTTTTGGAATTTCGCGCAAAGCTACACGAGGGTCATCTGCGTTAGCCATCCCTAATTTATCAGTGAAAGACAGCTAGTCATCATCACCCACCTCAAACTATTGGGCTACTCTTTTACCAATGAATAGTGGGATTAACCATCACATTATAACACCACGTGGCTGAAAGGGCGAGCATGCTTGATGGGATGGGGGATTTGAACCCACGACCCCAGATTGCGAGTCAAGCACCCTAACCAGCTGGTCATGCCGGGCACTGCTTATGTCATTGTGAAGCTCAGGTGTGTGTGTGAGAGAGAGAGAGAGAGAGATCTAGTAGTCGTCATCCAACAAGCATTCTCTGGTGGATTGGCATTTTGTTATGTA